CTCCCGGCCCCCCCATCGCCCCCCCAGACCCACCCCACAGCTGAGCTCCAATTTGTGGGCAGGAAAACCCAGGGAGGGGCGGAGGAGATCCTACCAACGCCCCCCCGAACCGCTCAGGGCTTTTATAGAGCAATTTGCATTTAAGCAAATACGTATCAGAGCAGCTGCTGCCCCCCCCAGAGCATTGCTGGGGCGGGGGGACACAGGTTTCCCTGGAGATGCTGCCCCATCCTAAAGGGAAGAGGCAGCAGATGGAGCTGTGGATTCAGGGGGAGAGAGCCTGATACGCCCCCCACCAGGGGGAGGTCCCCAAAACATGCCCTGAAATCACCCCCACCAGGAAGGAGGGGTGCAGCCCGTGCTGGGGGGGGGTGGTGGTGAGGGGGCACACAAACCCACAGGTGTTTAAAAAAAGATGTGACCTCGTTATTGGGCTAAAGTCGCTTCTTTACTTTAAAGCCTGTTTTTTTCAAGAGGAAGAAAGAGGAATAAATGTGCATTGGGCCTCCCCCGGTTCTCTGTTTAAGAAAAAAGGCAGAAATGGGTTCATTTCACTGCCGTTTATTACAGACTTTGCAGAGGGTCAACCCCACGGGAACCGAGAGCCCTGAACCCACCAAACCTGGGAGAAAGGTCGGGTTGGCTCAGCTGAGGGAGGAACAACCTCTAACGGGTGGAGAAAGAGTCCCTGCTGGCCAGCTGGGACATTTCGAAGGACCTGGAGAGGAAGAGGAGGGTGGGACATGCTGAGCATCGCCCCAGCCAGGGGTCTTGCTGTGCCCCTCCAGACCTGCCCCGTCCCCAGGCAGAGGCCATCGCCACGGTGGTCCCTCTCCATGCCCACCCCTTGCATTGCCTAAAGACACGTGGAGAACCTACAAATGGCTGTGATACTCATTCCTCTGGGCCTTGGGAGGGTTTTGGCTGGGGCAAAGAGAAGGTGGTCCTTCAGGCCCACGAGGTTGGGATGCCCCGGGGTGCTTTCCTGCAGGTTGGCTAAGCCCAAACACACCCACGGCGCAGCTGAACCCTAAAAAACTTGGATGAAACCAGCAGGAATTAAGGCTTAAAAACTTCAGGCTGAGGAAGGGAGGGATTTGTGGGGAGACTTGAGCCCTTTCCTGGATGGGGATCTCCACCAGGGCTACCAGCTCTGAACCCAGGGTGAAGCCAGGGGCTGGCAGGGCAGTGCTGGGCTGCCTCTTTCTTGGGGTCTGGGACTTAAGGCAGGGGATATTTCCCATATTCTGCTCTTTGCCCTTCAAGACGGCATGAATTTACGAGGGGAAAAAGGCAACTTTACCTCTCCTTGTCCACGGAGCTGGAGTCACGTTCCTTCTGCCATCCCTGGGTCGTGTGGTCTGAGGAAGGACAAGCCCGTGCCCGGGCGTCAGGAGGAGCCGAGTGAGGGGCACCGGGCGCAGGGGACGGGATGTTGTACTCAGGGACCCTGCCTGGGGCTCCCTGGGGACGGGACACGACCGGCGGAGAGGTCTTGGGGTCTTCACAAGAGCCCAACACGTGACTTTTAAATAATTCACGTGGCTGCTTGACCGCGTCAGGGACAGAGGGAAAGCAGCTGGCTGCAGGTCAGGCGGGGGGTGGAGGGGCAGGGGGACTCACAGCAGAGGAAGATGGCGAGGAGTGGGAGGGCCGAGACGGCCGCCGTGCTGACCACGAGGGCGGTCACCTCCACCAGCTCCGTGCATCCTTCTTCTGCCCTCCACACCGACCCCGGCATCAGCGCAGAACGCCGTCCGAGGCAGGAGGAGAGAAAGGAGAAAAGCAAATGGCCACCATGAAAACAGGCACACATGCCAAAAAATAAAAATAAAAATAAGTATAAAAATAAAAATAAAATAAAATAAAAGGAAGAATGTGTTGAAAACTATTTTTGCTTTTACAAAGATTTCACTTCCCTTAAAACCCCGATTTGTTGGATTTCTTTTGGAGCAGGTCTAACTCCGAGTGGTGGCGTTGAGGGGATTTCGGGACTAGGTGTGATGGACAAGCTTTACCCTGAGTGTGGCAAACCCTTGGGGTGGTCCCTGGAGCACCCCCGCTCACCGTGGCGATGGTGGATGTTCTTCATGAGGACGCTGGTCGTCAGCACCACCGAAACCACCCCTCCGGGAGCGGCGTAGCCCAAGGTCTGCTGTGCTGGCCGAGGGAAAGGTGACAGAGTGGTGTTACTGGTGTCAGGGGACAGGGACGGGGAGCCCTACCCTCACCCCTGGGCTGGGGCAGAGTCCACCAGCCTCAGGTAGTATGGAAGTAGAAATAAAGATTTAATTTAAACAAGTGAAGGATGAGATTTTTGGGCAAAATAACCCAGTGGGCCAGTTTTATCTCCCTCCCTGCTGCCAGCCTTGGTGAAACAGCTCACCCGTTCTGCTTTTGAATTGGGTGAACTTTGCAGGCTGGAAGGTCACGGTGGCAGAGACCAGGAAGTTCACCACGATGGCGTATGCGAGGGCAATCTGGGGCAGGATGATGGCAACAGAAGGGCCTGGAAGAGAGCAGGATGAGGCAGAGCAGCGGTTCTTGCCCTTGCCTACCACTGTCATAGTTTCGTAACGCCCCACCACATCCCTTTTCCCAACTCTCCCAACTCCCAGCCTTTCCAGTCTGTCCTTGCAAGAGGCCTCTCTATCCCTTGGTCATCCCTTGTCCCTGCCCAGGGCAGGGGGTTGGAAGTAAATGGTCCTTAAGGTCCCTTCCAACCCAAACCATTCTGTGCTCCTGTGGTTTTACCTGTCCTTCTGCAGTTAACTCTGGGAAGGGCTCTGGGAGAAGGAGAGGAACTACGTGAATCGTACGGGTGGGTGTGCAATCCATACGGTGGTCCGGGCCCCCACAACGAGCTGGGATCACACGTGGGGAAGCCCCATGTTGCCTTGGCTGGGTCTATTCCCCCATGTTTGGCACCATCACCCTCCCATAACACCCCACCACATCCCCTTTCCCACCCTCTCCCAACTCCCAGCCTTTCCAGTCTGTCCTTGCAAGAAGCCTCTCCATCCCTTGGTCATCCCTTGCCCCCCCCAGGGCAGGGGGTTGGAAGTAAATGGTCCTTAAGGTCCCTTCCAACCCAAACCATTCTGTGCTCCTGTGGTTTTACCTGTCCTTCTGCAGTTAACTCTGGGAAGGGCTCTGGGAGAAGGAGAGGAACTACGTGAATCGTAAGCCTCTCCATCCCTTGGTCATCCCTTGCCCCCCCCAGGGCAGGGGGTTGGAAGTAAATGGTCCTTAAGGTCCCTTCCAACCCAAACCATTCTGTGCTCCTGTGGTTTTACCTGTCCTTCTGCAGTTAACTCTGGGAAGGGCTCTGGGAGAAGGAGAGGAACTACGTGAATCATACGGGTAGGTGTGCAATCCATATGGTGGTCCGGGCCCCCACAACCAGCTGGGATCACACGTGGGGAAGCCCCGTGTCGCCTTGGCTGGGTCTATTCCCCCATGTTTGGCACCATCACCCTCCCTCCCTGGGGTTGTCCCTTCCTCCTGGACCCCCACAAGGCTTTACATCTCCCATCAGGTCTTCACCCTGTGTGGTTTGCACAGCAAGGATCGCTCTGGGGTCTGCACAGCACCGTCCCCCCCACCTCAACACCCCCCAGGGGCCACCGGCACCATCACCCTCCCTCCCTGGGGTTCTCCCTTCCTCCTGGACCCCCACAAGGCTTTACATCTCCCATCAGGTCTTCACCCTGTGTGGTTTGCACAGCAAGGATCGCTCTGGGGTCTGCACAGCACCGTCCCCCCCACCTCAACACCCCCCAGGGGCCACCTCCTACCTTCCTCTCGCATCCAGAGGATCCCAGCAGTGCTGGTGAGGATGGAGGCGACGCACACCAGCCCGCAGGTGTAGGCACTGAGCCACCTCCACAGCTCCCCCCCTGCACACAGAGCAGCGTGGGGTGACTGCTGTGACCCCCCCGTGATGGCCTGCGCCAGCCCCCACCCCTCCCTCAGGGGGAATGCAGCCCATCCCCACCCGGGGTCCCCATCCCTGGCCAGGACCTCATTGGCTTGACCTGCTCTTTGGAGTGAGGGGCTGGGAAGGGCTCTGTGCCCCCCTGGTTGGGTGTATTGAACGTGCTCCCCTATCGATGGAGCCCTGGAATAAAAGAAATGCTCCTGAAGAAACATTTTTTTCTATAAAAGTGCCAATTGACAACCTCAACTCTCTAGGACAGAGATGTCTGGGAAGTGGCAGGATCTAACCCAGCTTGAAAACAGAGTAAAAGCAGTTTTCACTGCTAAAAATCTTGCCAGTGAAAGTTTTTCTGCTCTTACCTGCCAGATGATGTGAAGACGAGACACTTGGACAGCTGGAGAGGCAATTAGCTGATTACCAGCCCTTCCCACAGCAACGCTGCTCGCCCTGCCCCCCCAGACGAGGGAAATGGAGGTTCAAGCTGCCCCCCAACTGCCCACTCACGTATTCGGAGCTTTTCAGACTGGCAGACGGGAAAAATCAATCCCCATCCCGAGGTGGCAGCGAAGACCACGGCGACCACTGCGAGCCTCAGCACGTCCTGCAAGGCAGGGGAGAGACCTGGAACCCACCCCCCCGAGGAACCAGGAGTCAGGCCACCAGCAGGACCAGCATGGAGGCCTCTGGGGGGCCATGGGGCTCTTCCATCACTAGGACGGACTCAATTTATTTTCCAGCTGGTGGCCAAATCAGTGCTCTCTGCTGCAGCCTGTGGTCCATAGAATGTCCACCCTGGGATGTGGGATGTCTACAGACTGTCCAACACCCCTGCCCATGTCCTCTTCACCATCGCCTTGGCCAAGGGCCATCACTTGGGACCTTCTCCAAGAGGTAGCTGCCAATCTCCTGCCAAGGAGGCAGCAGATTGTGCCTTGGTGGGATCAGAGACCGGGAATTGCTGCTGATCATCCTGCCATGGGGAGCTCCTGCCAACAGCAGGAGAGGGTGGCCAGCTTTTGGGGGGGAAGGAGGCAGAGGAATGGAATGAAGCTCTCAGGGGGCCCCAGGGAAGGGTGGAGAGCAGGAAGAGGGGTGGGAGATGAAACCCCAGCGGTGATCACCTGCGATGGTGATGTTCAGGGAGGTTTCTTGCCAGCTTATCCTGTTGCTGGCGTTGCAGGAGTAGGAGCCACAGTCCGACTTCTTGGCCGATCTCAGGGACAACACGCTGAGGCTGCCGGAGAGGTGGGATCCTCTCTCTGCAGGAAGGGGCTGCCCATCCTTTTTCCAGGTGATGGTGTCCACCTTGCCCTCTGCCACGTCACAGAACACCTCCCCGGTGGCCTGGGCCACCAGGGCACTGCTCCAGAGCCGAGGGCGAGACACGGGCTCTGGGGAGGGGACAGAAACATCAGCACTTCTCTCAGACACAACCTGGGGCACCCACGGATGTCCCTTCCCCCTTGGAAAGTCCTGTGCTGCCCAGGGCTCCTGTGATTTCCAGATTTGGGGCGTTTTTTTCTAGCCGAGTCATTGTTTTTATTGTCTTTGGGTAATAAATGCATCAGGAAATGAGAAAAAAAAAGAGGAAAAGGATTCAGATCCCATTCAAGTTGATGAGTGGGAAGGAGAAATGGGTGGTGAAGGGCTGTGGCAGCATTAGGGCAGCAGGATGATTAGAGCAGGAAAAGAGCAAAGATCTGCCAGAGCAAATTAAGGGAAGAGCCAAGGGCGTTACTGAGCAGGAATTTCTGTTATTCAGAGCTGGCGCCTGCAAATTGCAAACAGTCGCTGTGGTCTGAGGGGCACGATGTCTCCATAAATCCCACCCTCCTGGGCTTAGTTCCCCGGGCTCTGCCAGGCTCCCCCTCTCACAAGGTGCCGGGGGGTCTCTCCGCAGGCGGCAGCGGGTACATGACACCCCACCAGTCCCTCCATCCCTGCACTGAGGGCAGAAAATCAGGGAGGAAACTGTCTTTCCAGGATGGAGCCCAGTCCTCTGTCCCAGCCAAGCACCCTGGGAGGTCTCCTTGGGCAGCACCACCAGATCTTCTCCACTGGGAGATGTTGGAAACCTCTTCCCAAAGTCTCCCTGGTGATGTCTCCATGCGTGGTGGGTTCAAAAACCCCTCATGATTAGCTCAAATCCCTTCTCCAAATCCCTTTATCTAGATGAGGGTCTGTGTAGACCCCACTGCTCTGCTTCCACCCACCACCCTGCTCTGGATCCCGTGCCCACCACTTACTGAGGACTTCCAGCAGGATTTGCAGGCTCTCCCCATCTCCCTCGTTGACAGTCACTTTGTAGACGCCGCTGTCGCTTTCCTGGACGTTCTCCAGCGAGAGGGACCCGTTGGAGGGGTGGAAAAGGGCTCGTCCTGCGTAGGGCGGGTGGACGGTTGGGCTGTGGGACCCCCCGTCGTACTGCAGGATGGGGCAGGTGCTGGTGCCATTGAGGTGCTCCCACCGCACGGAGTGGACGTGCGTGACGTTCTCCGGGCCGGGAAGCAGCACCGAGGATCCCACGGCGGCAGCTTTTCTCTGGAGGGGTCCCATGGCTCCAGCAGCCACTTGCAAAGGCACCAGCAGCCCTGGGGGGCAGGGGACAGGATGGGAAGGGGGTCCGGGGAGATGGAGCAAGTGGGCATGGCTCGGGAGAGGCTTGGATGAGCCCCGTGCCAAGGACACACACGCGGTACCTGGACCTCTTGGTCACAGCCTCTCACAAAGCCATGGCCCGTCGTGCTGCCAGGCAGGGGGACATCCCACCCCGGGGGCTGGTAGAGGTGCCCAAATACAGCCCAGAATTCTTGGAGATACCTGGCTGAGAGGTTTTTCTGCTGGAGCTCTGTGTGTATTTTGGTGGGGCAATGCCTCCCCGTCTGTGTCCAGAAGGGATTTCCTAATCCTGACCAGGTTTCCACGGCTCATCCCCAACTCCTGGTCTCATTCGGGGCTGAAAGTGTCTGCATCCTCCCAGCAGAGCAGGGTGCAGGTGTGTTCCCCAAAACACAGGGCTATTTCTGGGCTTGTCATGACCTGGGCTGCGAGAGGGGCTTGAGGACTTCAAGAGGAGCCGCTGTTGTAGGTCACAGCCCCAGAAAAAAGGAGCTTTCTAGGAAAGCCAGGCAAAAATCAGTACTGCAGCCCTATCTTGTAAAGTGGATTATTTTTTAAAAAAAGGAAAAAAAAAACCCACCAGAAAAAAAGGGGAGGTTAAAGGGTTTAAAGCAAGGAGCCAGCCCTAGGCAGAGGAAATGAAAGAAAGGGTGTTTATCTACCTGGGCAGAGGGTCAGGTAATGCCAGGGGCCATCCCAGGGCTCCTAAGGGGCATCGGGATTTCTAAGGGTCCCTTTCTCCAGCATCAGGTCTGAGATGGGGACCGGTGACAGCGATCCCAGCCTGTCCCAGTCACCCCTCACCAAGGGACCTTCCCGGCAAAGGGGATGGCAAGAAAGCCCCGTTCCCAGCCCCGGGGAGGTGGTTGGGGGCCGGGGGACAGGCAGGGCCCCACCGGCTGCACACACCCCCGGGGTTTGCTCTTCTCCCCCCGACACATCACGGTCCCTGCCCCCATGGGCAAATGTTTGCCCACATTGACACCCCCGCCTGCCCCCTCAGCAAACAAGCCTCAGAAGGGTCCCTGGTGCTCCGGGCGGCGACTTCTCCCAGGGGTTTTTTCAGCACAGGTGGGAAAGGGAATAAGCATCACAACACAAATAAATCGATGATTTTCCTTTCTCACTCTCACAACTCTGAGAAGCAGCTACTGCCTTCAGCCTCTGTGCCTCCGTGCCCCCCAGACGGTCAGGTGGGCAGGGAGAAGAAACAATCGTATGACTGAAAGTGCCCTCGCTGTAGGGGATGACCCATGGGCTTATACAGAACACACGGTACCACTAGCAGAAGGTAAGAGAAAATACTTATCACAGGCATCTTTCACAACTGCAATTACCCCGAGCTCATCCTACGGATGCTCAAACAGAGCTCTCAGAACCCACAGTGTCCAAAAATCTAGTGATATGGTCATGGGTTTCTTTTCTATTTTAGATGCTTGACCTGAAAATGTTTATATATTTGTGCTTCCAGGCAGCCAGTGCATGTATAATGAGCGCAGTGAGACTGCTCACAGGAGTATAACTGCAATAAATGTGTTATTCCATATATCAGCCCCAGTATAAATCTATCCACAGCAGACCTTTAGCCTCGGCGCCGTGCCCAGCTCTTGAGCTGCTTCTGCCTGCGGACAGCAGGGCAGAGACACCCTGCCTTTTCATCTGCCTCCCCTGCCTGCAGACAGCAGGGCAGAGACACCCTGCCTTTTCAGGTTAAGCATCTAAAAAGTCAAATCTACAGGGACCAGAGATCCCCAGGCAGAAGTGCTGAACCCCAGGCTCTCCGTGGGTTGCCAACAGGCGAGGGTCTGGCCCGGAGCCCCCCGGATGGCATCGGCACCTTGCCCAGCCTGGGGATAACTTACCTGCCAGGAGCACCCAGCTGGTCCCCAGCAGCTCCGCAGGACGGCACAGCAGCATCTGTGGAGGGGAAAAAGGCTCAAAAATCGCCACGCTTTTAAGATAACCCCTTAAAAGATAACCCCCCAGACTGTCAGGAGAACAACAGGTCTGTACGGGGTGAGGAGTTTTTCCCGTCTCAGGGACTGGATTTCCGATGCTGGGGAGGGCAGTGGATGGTCCCAGCCTGGAGGTGAGGAGTTCTTCCCGTCTCAGGGACTGGATTTCCGATGCTGGGGAGGGCAGTGGATGGTCCCAGCCTGGAGCGGCTCCAGCCTCGCAGTTTTCCTGCCGATGGCTCCTCTCCCTCCTCTCCCTCCTCTCCCTCCATAACCCCCCAGACTGTCAGGAGAACAACAGGTCTGTACGGGGTGAGGAGTTCTTCCCGTCTCAGGGACTGGATTTCCGATGCTGGGGAGGGCAGTGGATGGTCCCAGCCTGGAGCGGCTCCAGCCTCGCAGTTTTCCTGCCGATGGCTCCTCTCCCTCCTCTCCCTCCTCTCCCTCCCGGCTGCCTCCTCTCCCGGGGACCCTTCCTGGGCGGCAGCTCCGGGCTCTCTCCGGTGCCCGCGGCTCCCGGTGGCGGCGGGCGATGCGGCGGCGCTGCCCGATGCCGGCGGCTCCCGGCGCCCCCATGGCCGGTGTCCCCAAGGGGACGTGCTGCAGCCCCCGGGGGGGCACCTGGGCAGAGCTCCAATGCCCCCCAGAAACGGACCCGTCGCCAGAAAAGCCCAAACCAGGGAGAATAACCCACCTGACTGCTTCTAGCAGAGGTTTCCTATTTCGGTTCTCGCAGCAATATAAATTCCAGGGATGTCCCGCACCATTTCCGTGCCCCGAGGCCAGAAGATCCATCCTGTCCCTGTCCCACAGCTCACTCTTCTTCCCTCCAGCCCCCGGGAGAGGGTCCCAGCCCCCCGAGCCGGGCAGAGCTGGAACTCAGCCTCCAGCCCGTTTCTCCTGGTGGCCGGGGGGCTCGGGCAGGCTCTGCCACACGCGTCCCACTGCGGGTAACTTTCTCCTCCACCGAGGCAGATGTGGACCTGGATTGTCCATGTCCCACAGGCTTCCTGTGAAGGGAATTTCAGTTTAAAGGGTCCCACAGGGGCTGTTCCTGCGGGGAGAGCACGGCTTCTGCTGGGGAAGGGGCTGGGGATGGTCCTGGGGTGTTTTATATTGGCATCGGGATCAATACTGGTTCTTTAGTGTTATTAATGCTAATTATTTAGTCTTATTCTATTAAATCTGACTATATTTCAACCCTTGGGTTTCCTCATTTTGTCCCAATTCGCTTTCCTGGGTGGGGAGGGGTCATGGGGTGATGGAATAATTGTCTAAAGGGCAATACAATGCTGTGGGTTCCTCAAACCATAACACACCCGTCTGTCGTGGTCAGCCCAGTGATGACTGTACCCCTTATCCTTCTCCCATTTCTTGACCCTTCCTTCCTCCTTCTAGAAAAAATACGCCTGTAATGACCTTTTCCCCGTTGGTCCTCGTTTTACTACCTCTTTCCTCAAATTTAGCCTTCCTGGCCCCTTTGCCTCCCCAGTCTTGGCTTTAGCCAGTGTGGGCTCACCCAGGCAATATTGCCCTTGCAGGTCTGTCCCACAGGAGGTCCCCAGAGCTCCTCACACTTCTCTGAGAGCTTCAGTCATTTCTCATTTCCTCCCAGCCCTCGGCCGCTGTGGAGCCCAGCCTCACCTCGTCACCAGCTCCGGGGTTTGATGTTCCTCACACTGTCATTTGTCACATCTGCTGATTTCAGTCGCTCCCGTGCCCTGGCCCAGCTGGAGCCCAGGCACCCACCACCTCCTTTACCTGCCCCCCCGCGGGACGGACGGACAGAGACAATTTCGGGCAGGAAGGACAATGACCTTTAAGATAAGTGGAGCTTACAACTAGCTCAGTGCAAACTGTGTGCCCAGCAGAACTTTTTGGCTTGGGGTTCTGTGTGTTAAAGGGGAGCCTGCTCCACTCAGATTCTGCCTTTCACGCTCTTTTGTGGCCAACTTTGCATTTTCGTTTTTAATTTAACTTCTCGTTTTCCCCCTGCCCAGCAAAATGCAGTTTCTCTCTTCCCAACCCCTTGGTTCCTCAATGCAGGGCCAGGTATTTGCAGGGTCCCATCATGCGACCATCGGTATTTAGTCATCGCAGCGAAGGGCTGCTGCGTTCTGCCTGCAGTTCGCAGGATTTTGGGGTGTCTGAGAAGCTAAAAGCAGCTGAAAGCAGCGTGAGGGCATGGGTGCAAGCAGGAAAATGCAATTTGTGAAAAAGAACAGCTCTGTCCTTTCCCCAGGGACGTCCCCTCCCGGGAACACGTTTCTTGGGTGGCCCTTGGCAGGAGCAACGGACTCATCAATGTCCAACAGCAACGTCTGAGGTGACCATTCACCTGGAGGTGTCTTCAGAAAGACACCAAAGGGCAAAGCTTTGGTTCTCCAGGCAGGTGTTTCACTTGCTGGCAGGAGGGATGAGCTGCCGTGGATGAGTGTTTTGCACCCACGGCTCCCGCTGCCTCCCCATCATCCACATCCCTCTTCATTTAACTGCTCCAGAGTGTAATTTTTACCAGTCAGGCCACTCTGGCTGCATTAATACTTCCAGGTTGCTGGAAGGAAACTTTAAAAACATATTCTCTGCTTAATCTTAGATGAAATGAAATGGAAAGTTGAGGCAGGTTTCTGCTGGCGCTTGACTCCTTTCACAAGCATTTTGAAAGCTTTTCTGGCCCTCGCCCTGCACCTCTGGAGGGGCTGGGGGAGACCAACCAGCAGATGCAGCAGCTCAAACCTGCAAGTGTTGGCCTGTGCTGAAGAGCTTTCACACCCGCCGCTTCGGGCCAGCGCAGCTTCTTGTGGTTGGAGAGAGATAAGGTGAGCAGGCGACCATCAGCAGACGTGGAGCTCGCGCCACAGACCGTCTGATAGACAACCCCAGGGCCCTCTCTCCCACGCTGCTGTGACCCCAAAGTCACGAAGGGGCAACGGTCGGTTTCTGCTAGAAATCAGAAGCATGAGGATGAAAAACTAAGCTACATTTTCTAGTGAAAATCAGCATCCCTGCTGCAGGCAGCGGTGGGAGACACCTCCAGCCCCAGCAGGACTAAGCTCAGGGTGCAGGGTGGTCCTCATGCTGGAGAAGACAAACTGGCCACCCCCCACCCCGCAGTCAAGGGCAGTGAGAAAAGACTCATGAGTCCTGCCCACACAACTGCCTGCTGGCGTAGCCTGGGCAAGGAGAGGGCTTTGCTCTGGCTGGTGTCCTCCTGGCCATCACCAACACCCATGTGGGTGCTCAGTGGAGATGTCTGCTCAGAGCTTTGTACGTGGGGGTTCCTGAAATTCTCCACCCAGGGTTAGATGAGAGAAAAAAAACAAATGCTAAAAAGGAGTCAGATTTACCAGCTCAGTCCCAGTGAAGAAGATGACCTGCTATGGGACATCAGGGGACAGTGAGCTCTTCCAGCCTGCTAACGTGCAAAGACATGGAGCTGGAAGCCCTGGCAGACAACTGTCATCTTGCCTCTGCCTGTTCAGCGGTTGAAGTCAGCTCAGGAACCACAATACACATCTCGTGGGCTCCGAGCAACACCTCTACGAGGGACAACAGTGACACTTTTGGCCTCTAAACAAACCCAGAACAACAGAATAGCTGATGTTGGCAGACACCTCTGCAGATGAGCTAGTCTGAGCCCCAGCTCAAGCAGGGTCTCCCAGAGCAGGTTGCCCAGGACCGTGTCTGGTTCTAGTCATTCAGCCAGTTTTCAACTGATGAAACTGATAAAACCACTTATCTAACCCATACTTTGTCAGCTTCCCTATGAGGATGCTGTGGGAGATGGTGTCGAAAACCTTACTCACGTCAAGGTAGAAAACACTCACCGTTCTCTCCTTGTCCACCCAGCTATTGCAGAAGGCTGTCAGGTTGGTTAAGCAGGATTCCTCATCCATAAGTCCATGCTGACTCCTCCTCATCACCTTCTTGTCCTTCATGTGGGAGATGGGTCCTGGGATCAGCTGCTCTGTCACCAGCCCAGGGGCTGAGATGTGGCTGTCTGCTCCCTGGGTCCTCCTTGCCCCTTTCTGAGGACAGAAGCTCTTCTCCAGTCTTCAGAAACCTCTCCCAGTTGCCACAACCTTTCGAAGAGTGTCAAGAGTGGCCTCACAACGCCGTCAGCTCAGGACTCATGGGTGCATCCTCTCAGGGCCAATTAGTGTGTCCAGTTTACTTAGCTGCTTCCTAACCCAATCTTCTCCCACCGAGGGAGTCCTCCTCACTGTGGACTTTCTCCAGACCCTTAGATTACTGAAGACCAGTCTTTTGCCAGTTTTACTGGCAAAAAAAATGAGGTGGAGAAAGCGTTGTCCCTTGTCACCAGGACCACCAGCCATTCAGTGGCAGTCTCGAAGGGTGACAATCAGACACATGGGCCTGGGATGGATTGAAAGGTGGAAGAATAAATGATGATGAGCAGCCAGGGCCATCGAGGGGACCCGTGCATCGCTTGAGGTCTTTAAAATACAATACATTGCACGGGTCCAGCAGGGGGAAGGTTGCTCTGAGACGCCGGCACCGAGAGCCTGAGGTCTGCAAGCACCGAGCCATTTGTAACCACAAGGAAAGCCACACCGGAGCTCTTGAAGAGCTTCAAAAAGTGAACGCAGAAGGGATGGGGGGACAAGGCCTGTGAAGAAGCTGCTGAGAGAAGGAAATGAAAAGGCAGAGGCAGGCAGGAAGGCTGCCGTGTGGGTTAGAGGCAGGGACAGGGGACTCAGCGTAGGCGAAGACCAAATGTCTTTTGTGGTGGTATCTCAGGGGTGAGCAAAGAGATGGAGAGGAGAAGGCGGAAAGAGGGAAGCACGAAGAGCAAGTGTGACCAGCATATTTTTTTCCCCCCTCCCCCATTAATTTCTGCAGTTTCCTCTCTGCTCCGCGTGCAGAAGCGAGACCCCGGCCCCAGCCCTGTGGGTGCTGGCTCCCCGGGGCTGCCCGAGGGGCTGGGGGCTCTGCTGGGAAGGACCTGGCAGCTGCTCGGTGGAGCGAGGTGAGCACAGGGCCTGCTTTCTCCTCCCCACGGCTCAACTCACCGTCTACCCAAGAAATGGGGAGTTTCACCAGCCCGGTGTGAGAAGTGTTCTGTGCACAGAAGTGGCCGCAGCCCTGTGGGTGCTGGCTCCTGGGGCTGCCCGAGGGGCTGGGGGCTCTGCTGGGAAGGACCTGGCAGCTGCTCGGTGGAGCGAGGTGAGCACAGGGCCTGCTTTCTCCTCCCCACGGCTCAACTCACCGTCTACCCAAGAAATGGGGAGTTTCACCAGCCCGGTGTGAGAAGTGCAGTTATTCCCATGGGCTCATCCCTCCACAGCATCCATTTATCATCAGCGACCAAGCCCCGTGTCTGGGCACAAATGACCTGGCTTTCCGTGAAACCCAGAGGGAAACAAAACCCATTCATGCCCTCGCTGAACTTCAGAGGTGACTGAAAACGCTGGTGCTGCTGCGGGGGACACGGCCTTTTAATTTTAAGCCAGAGTTACATGGCTCAGCTTTCTTCCACCCATGCACACCACTTTGAGGGAAGGGCATCAGGTGCCAGGAAACCCATTGTAGAGAAAGCCCCACCTCCTTGTGCTTCAAAAGGATGTTTCAAACCAACAGCAGAGGAACCTGTTGCCCTGGGATCCCACTGACAAGCAAATTTCATTGCAGGAAGTCAGCTCAACAATTACTTGCCAGATTTATAAAAATAAGGACAACTTGTCAGGTCAAAGGATCTTCACCTAGCCTTTTAATGTGACAAGACCACTGGTAGTGAACCTGGGACACGTGATTAAACTCCATTTAATGCTCTCTGTTACCCCTCAAGCAAAGGGGAGTCTATGGAAACAACCTTCCCATGGGTGAACTGTGGGTTTGCCGTTGCCTTGAGCATCTTTCTCCTCCATCTCACCCATCACACACCGAGTCTCTTTGTGCTCTCAAAAAGCCTCAAGAAGAAACCAAGACCAGCTGTTTCCTCAAATTCGAGAGGGCTGGCAGTTCGAGGAAATGATTGCATTTCTGTGCTCTGTTGCTCCAAATCCCCCTCAGCCCAGGCTTGGAAGGGGCAGCACCGAGGGCATCAGCCACAAAGGCATCCTCTCTGCTTTGAAGCACGACCACCTTCTGCAAAGGTCCTCTTTGAGGCGGCTCCCACAGTCAAACCACCACATGGTAGAGTGCTGTGTCCAGTCCTGAAGGCTCAGGGTGGGTTATGGATGTGTACACAGTCTCTGATGTTGGTCTGTTGGTCTGTGGCTGTTCAAAGCTGTCTCCGATTCTGGCGTAAATGGTCGCCATGCCCCCCACCACAGTGCTTTCCATGTGGGGCTCCTCCACACCTGAGACCTGGAGAAGTACAGAGAAAACACCAAAGATGAGAACATTTTCTTGTTGGGATGAGGAGTGGTTCAGAGCTGCTGATGAGGAGATGGCAGAGGCAGGAGCTACCTAAGGCCCAGATGGTTTTACCCATGGCATTGGTTGGGGAACATTGGGGCCAGCTCCCCCACCTCCTGAATGGCTCAGCCCACCAGGTACTCCATCTATGTTGCCCAATGACCTCTCAGACCAAACAGACACAGTCTGGAGAGCAGATGGGAGAGCTTGATGGAAACTGGAAACAGGGATGAAAACCATGGCTGAAGTTCTGTTGTGGTTTCCAGACCAGAGAGCACAGAGTGGGGAACCCGCACTCCACCTTCGCTATTTTCACCAGAAAAAGATAATCACAAACCCCTCTTTGCTCTCTTTGTGTGGGAACAACTGCAGGCTGGTAGGATCTGCAAGACATGCTCATTGGAGCATTCCAGCTCTTCTGGGACACTGTCACCCCCCCAGACCCCCACTGTCACCGCTCCCAGCACTACATGGTAGGCAGAGAGATGGCTTGAGCCATCCTGCTCTCGTGTGTCCTGCTCACAGACTCATAGACCGGTTTGGGATGGAAGGGACCTTCAAGATCATCCAGTTCCAACCTCCTGCCCTGAGCAGGGACTCCTCTCACTAGAGCAGGTGGTTCAAAGCCCCATCTACTTGGGTTTCTGTGCCTCTTTCTCTCTGCTTTAGTTACCTTTCACAGGCAAAACCCTGATGAGTCCCTCAGTTGCCCCCACCGATCCCCCACCGATCCCCCCAGTTCCACCGGGAAGTGGGGAGAGATAATTATCTGCACATTTCTCTGCATTTAACCATTCTGCATTTTCCTTGCTGCTGCTGCTGCCGGCCAAAGCTGCCATGAAAGTTGGGGTCTGAGGAGAAGTTGGGGAAAGAGGTGAAGTGTCCAGCTGGGCAAAGGGCAGGCAATTCCCTTACAATAATGACTTAACTTCCTAATTCTATACCCAGCCCCCGGCTCTGGCAGCTCAGTGCCTCTCACCCAAGGTTGCCGTTACCCAACCTCCTCTGCCCAAGAGCTTCCAGACCCCACCCCGTACCTGCTGCTGTTTGATGATTCTCCTCTTCTTCTGCTGAGCTGCACCATCAGAAAAAAAGAGAGTTTTATTATAGTTTCATTATCCGGCAGAAACACTGAGGGTCTGCACGTTCCTCTCTCCCAGTGTGGGATTACTCCATGGGCACTTTCACCGGGGGGAGGGGGAGGTGGGTTTGGCCTTTAAGATGGAGAAAGTAGTTGCAGAAATCTCCAAGTGCAAGTGAAACTTCCCTCTGGGAAAGACAGGAGTTTGTTTCCTGACAAAAGCATCCTCAGGGATGAAGGTTTTGAAGGCATCACTGGTGGAAGCCGTGGAGATAAGCACCTTGTTGACTTATTTTAAAGTGGAAAGACCCCAGGGTATCTCCCCAGCTGGGGTTTTAAAGAAACTACAACAGAAGAACCATGGCCACGGGTAGAGGATGCATTTTGGAGTCCACGACCTCTTTTCCAGACTACCCGGATTCTGACTCAGCACCAAAAGCTATGAGTTCTCCAGAAAAACCATTGCGACAGCCCCGTGCCGTGCTTCTGCCTCGTTAAGCGCGTTACCAACCCGAAACGGGCTCAGCAGCTCTTGTGGCTGGAAAGAGGTGCCACGTTTGGGAGGTCCTCTTACAGAAGGAACCAGCAGAACCCAGGTGGCTCCTGAGCCCTCCACTGCCTTTAGTGCCCAAGAAGGTGCCTGGGCGAGCTGGGGGACGCAGCCGGGGGGGAGAAGCAGGAGCAGACCCACTCACCCAGGTGCCTGAGGTAGCAGAAGAGCAGGAGCAGCAGCAGGAGGGCGACTGAGGAAGAAACTCCAATTGTCCAGTGAAGGGCGTGCTCTTCACCCGGGCTGACTGCTGCTGGAAATAAAGCAGGGGGTGTCAGTGCTTTCTAAAGCAGTTTTTGGAGCGTTCCCGCGGGTTTTGCAGCGCTCTGCTGGGACCAGCCGAGGGGCAGCGCCGGGGACAGGCAGGTGGAAGGAAACGTTGAGCTGCAAAAAGCCCACCCACGGCCCCAGCTCCAGTCTTGATGAGTTTCCCTTCCCGCCCCGACCGCCCGCGCCCACCCTGCCGCGGGGGCTGGGGGCTCTGACACCCCCGTTTGGAGCCCTGAGGGGAGGCAGAGATCCAACGGGGGCAGGAAAACCCAGGGGGGGAACTGGGAATTTACTGAATGCCAGGTTAGGATTTCAACCCCTCTGCATTCCCTGTGGAGACCATACACCGGGGCAGGGAACAGCGAGAGACAAGGTCGGGGAGAGCCGGGGTGTGGGGCACGGCATCGGGACTGTGTGGGGGGAATGAACACCCCGGTGGGTTAAAGAAGGAGCTGGTCCTGCCCCAGGGACCCAGGCTGTCGGCTTAACCCACTGCCCCACCACACACACACCTCACACAGGTGTAAATAGCAATAATTCAGTGTATTTTCCTTAGCCCATGAAGCCAGAGACGTACCCCCGAGTGCCCTGCTCTCCCCAGTGGATACTGGATTTGCTCCAGCACAGGACCCAGACCCCGTGCTGAGGTTTCCCGGCCCATCCCTCTCCCCTGAAGCCCTTCATGCAAGGTTGGCAGAAAAGCCAAATTTCTGGTGTAGAGAGAAGCAGCTGCACAGGAAGCCCGTAAGCTCCGACGGAGCTGGCCGTGCCGGGCAGGACGGGCTTCCTATCAGAAGAAAAGACCTACAGCAGGATAGAAGGCATCCCTGGAAACCCTCCCTTCCCCACAGCAGCCTGTCCCTCCGGGATGAGGGACAAAACTCCTGCTCCTGCCTGATCCTTCCATCACACGTGGCCTGGGAAACGCAGGAGATGTTTGTGCAGAGCAGAGTCATACTTACATGGATCAGGATGCTCAGGGGGGAAACGCTGCTCGTGCACGACCAGGGTGATGGGCCAGCTCTGGGATGGCTCTTTGAAGGTAACAACATAAACCCCGCTGTCACTGAGCTTCAGGTCCCGCAGCAGCAGGGACCCGTTATCGGGGAAGAGCTCAGCACGGCCACGTTTCGGGGGGGGGGGGAAACATGTTGCAGAGCAGTTGCTGGGAGCCCCCCCAGCATCCAGGGAGCAGTTCTGCACTGCGCAGGTGAGGATCACCTTTGAGGAGTTATGGAACATCCAGCAAATGGACAGTGGGAAGCGAGAGGCCTCATCAAACATGTAGGAGATGTTCAGGAGCACGGACTGTCCCACGGTGCCATTGACCGAATCCTGATGGATTTGGACCCGGACAGCCAGGGTTCCCCCTGCCAAGGAGGGGCAGGGGCAGATCAGCACCAGCGTCCCCCCAGTGGGGCGAGAGCGGGGGCTGCCCCTTCCCCTCCCCAGCCCTGGCAGGCGTCTCAGCAACACGCACAGACAGGTGCCACGTCTGTGTTTTTGGGGTGATTTATGGGGACCCGAGCTCTGGCAGTGATGGGCTCTGCCTCCCCAGGGATGGCAGGAGCTGCCTGGGCTGAGCCTGCCCCAGAGCCCAAGGGGTGGCTGAGAGATGCCTCCGAACCCCCAACATCCTCAGTGGCACTTTAGTACCCGGTGCCGTTTCAGGGCCGGGTTTGCCCCCCTGCCCATCCACAGCTCCTGGTCCCCCTGCCCCATGGGAAGGGGGGAGGCACAGGCACAGCCCCTCCTGCCCTTCACCCACCAGGGGACGGACGGAGCAGCCCCAGCCCCCACCTCCCTCCCTGGGCCTGACCCCGGCACAGGTCCCTGATGGCACACGCCGTGGGGACGAGGGTCCTGGGGGTCACCCTGAGGTGTCACCCCCACCCCGACAAGGAGCCGCAGCAGCATCACCCTCGGGGAGCATCCCCCCTCCATGGGGCGATGCTCCCCGTCCCCCGGGACCCCCCGGCTGGGCCCAGACTCACCGAGCAGCAGCAGGACGGAGCCCAGGCTCCAGCGGCGGCGGTCGGGGACCATCTCCTCCCGGTGCTGGGACCGGCCCCGGCCTCGGCGGAGGAACTGGGGCGGGACGGCGCTCGGTGGGGCCGTGGGGCGGTCACCGCGCCTCCCCCGCCGCGTCCGACCCGTCGGGCTCTGCCCCGAGGCGGCCACCGAGCATCGCCCCACCGTCACCTCGGCGGGGGAGGAAGTCGGTGACTCTTCCTCACTCCCCCCCCGCGCCCCGGGGCTCACTCGCCAGCCCCGGGCGTCCTTCCTGTGCTCGGTAACGGCAGCCCGCGGGGAAGAGGAGGGGGGTCCCGGCCGGGGACTGGCCCCGTTTGGCCCCTGGGATCCCCGGGGAAGAGGCGGCTCCGCTCCCCGGCCTGGGGGAAAGGGACTGCAAAGCTCCAGGCGGTGGTGGAAACCCACGGGCAGCAGGTCCAGTGCGGGACTGGGAGCTGCCAAAGCCGCCCCTGGGCAGGCAGGGGACAGGCAGGGCTGCAGCTCATCAGGCAGGTCCCAGCGGGCAGGGGTGCAAGCAGAGCTGCAGGCAGAGCTGCAGTTGTTCAGGCAGGGTGCAGGCAGGTCCCAGCAGGCAGAGAGGAAAGGAGGCTCCATGGCTGCAGCGAGGACAGAGCTTCTCCCCAAGACATGAACATCCCCGAGCAGGCAGGTCCCAGCCCATAGGGTTCAGGCAGACAAGGCTGCAGGCAAGCAGACAGATTTGCAGGCAGGGCTGCAGTTTGGCAGGCAAGTCCTAGCAGGCAGGGACACAGTTAATCAGGCAGGGATGCAGGCAGGTCCCAGCAGGCAGGGATGCAGGCAGGGATGCGGTTCAGCAGGCAAGGATGCAGGCAGGGATGCAGTTGATCAGGCAGGGATGCAGTTCAGCAGGCAGGGATGCAGGCACGGTTCAGGCAGACAAGGCTGCAGACAGGTCCCAGAGAGGAAAGAAGGCTCCATGGCTGCAGAGAGGACAAAGCTTCTCCCCAAGCAGGGCCAGGGGAAGCCCTGAGGTGGCAGCGCTTGCGCCAGGGACCTGCTGCCGCTGGGGATGTGGGGACCCAGCCTCAAGAAGGGGGGCAGTGAGCTGCCAACATGGGAGCAAGGGGACAGCTCAATGGCCGGGAGCCACCAGCCCCCTGAGCCCCACTGCCAGCTCCTCAGGGCTGCCCTTCTCAGCTCCTGCTCCCCCATTAACGTTGGCCAGTGCCCCGTTAGCCAGGAGGGGAGCGGGGTGGTGGGTCTGGACCCCCTCACACACAGCCTCCCCCTCCCAGAGGCAGCTGGAGCAGAAGCAGAGCCCCATCTGGCTGCTTGAACTCCATCTTGGTTGACACGGTGCTGAGTCATCACAGCTTGGTGGCCACCACAGAGGGACATGAGTCAGTGGGGGGGGAGCCAGGGCTGCAGTGGGGACTGGGCTGCCAAACTCCACATCCCTCCTGGCTCCCCCACCACGGCCAGAGGTGTGGGGGGCACTGCCAGCTCCTCAGGGCTGCCCTTCTCAGCTCCTGCTCCCCCGTTAATGCTGGCCAGTGCCCCGTTAGCCAGGAGGGGAGCGGGGTGGTGGGTCTGGACCCCCTCACACACAGCCTCCCCCTCCCAGAGGCAGCTGGAGCAGAAGCAGAGCCCCATCTGGCTGCTTGAACTCCATCTTGGTTGACACGGTGCTGAGCCATCACAGCCTGGTGGCCACCACAGAGGGACATGAGTCAGTGCTGGGGGAGCCAGGGCTGCAGTGGGGACTGGGCTGCCAACCCCCGCACCCCTCTCAGCTCCCCCACCACGGCCAGAGGTGTGGGGGGCACCTCCTCTCCCCTGGTAACACGAGGGGAACCTTGGCCTTGGCCACCTTGGGCTCACCAGAAGCTTTGGGGAAATGATCTCCCCTCTGGCTTGGCTGCTGGAAGGGCCCAAAGTGATGGTGCAGACACAACCCCGGGTTCTGGGGGGAGCAGGCTGTGGGAGGAAGGGGGTTTGTGTGGCTGGGGAGGGGGCAGGGAATAGGGAGAGGGGGGGTCTGGGTGCAGGGAGAGGAGGAAGGGGTGTGTGGCTGACAACAAACAGGTCACCTTGCCCTCCCCAGAGTGGAGAAGGGACACGAAGTGCTGCAGAGGCATCCGCACCGGGGCTGGCCCTCAGGGGCTGTGCCAGGGTGGGCAGAACTGGGGGGAGACCCCAGCCCCTGGGGGGACAGAGGATGGGGACAGGGAACCCTCCACCATGTCCCCAGGGGCAGGTCAGGGGGGCTGCCACTGCCTGGGGGAAAAGCTGAGCCAGTCGAGTGGGGCCACTGGGAGACTGGTTTATACTGGGGAACCCTCTGCCTCGTCGGGCACCTCCCGGGCACATTTGCCAGTGCTGAGAGACGGGAGGTGGCACCAGGCGAGGCAGGGTCCCTCTGCAGCAGGACAGCAGGACAGCCACCGCCTTCACCAGCCCCGGGGTGCTCCAGCAGCCAGGGAAGGACCAGAGTGAGACACCAGGCAAAGGAGGCTCAGGAAAGAGCTCAGTGCATTTCATTAACACAGACACTGCAGTAATGAACTCCCCCTTGGGGTCCCACCTCCTGCTGCTCCCCCACATCCCCCGGCTGCTCTCCAGCAGTGCCCAAAGGCTTTGGGGAGCAGCATCACCCCCGCAACGGAGCTGCTCCGGGCTGCGGCCGTCTCTGCCGGCGCTCGGTGTCCGGGACTGAGCGGGACTCGGTGTCTGACGCCTGCCAGGAGCTGGGCTGTGGGCACAAAGCAGAAGTTACCCCAAAATGTCAGGCTGCAGCTGTGGGAGACCAGAGCTGACCACATCCCTCATCCTACAGCTCCCGCTGTCTCTCTCCAGTGGGTCCTGGAGAGGGTCTGCTGCTGGGAGCAGCCTCACCAAAGGTAAATGCCCTCCCTGGCGTGGAGCCGGGCTGTCCCCAGCCCCTGCAGAGGAGCCAGCTCCATCCCCGGGGTTTCTGCCCTTCCCATGGGATGCCAGAGCCCCAGTCACCTCCCCGGAGAGGTGTGTGCTCACCCTGAGCCGTGGGAGGTGGAGGAGCAGCTGCAGGACGAGCAGGATGAAGCAGTAGCAGCCTCCGAAGATGTAGCAGGGGATGTGAGAGGCAGACCCTCTTCTTCCTCCTCCTCCAAACTCGGGGTCTGTGGGAGAAGGCCATGCTCTTGGACATGCTTTGCTGTGGAGCCTTCCTCCCATGCGATGCCCTGGGGCTGCATCGGCCACGGCCTGACGTGGGGATGAATCCTGCTCCCAAGACCCCAATGCACACCCCACCTTCCCTCCCGCTCTGCCTCTCCCGGGGTTCTGACCTCCCCCAGGGACACACGGGACATCTCCTGTGGGTACAATGCCATCCCCGAGCAGAGCAGAGCAGTTGAGGGTCCTCAACGCCTGCCAGACCCTCCCAGACCACACTGGACCTTACACTTACCCTCATGTGGGTGCTCGGGGAGGAAACGCTGCTCGTGCACGGCCAGGGTGATGGACCAGCTCTGGGGTGGCTCTTTGAAGGTGACAACATAAACCCCGCTATCACTGAGCTTCAGGTCCTGCAGCAGCAGGGACCCGTTATTGGGGAAGAACTCAGCACGGCCACGTTTCATGGAGGGGATGAAACATGTTGCAGAGCAGTTGCTGGCAGCCCCCCCGGCATCCAGGGAGCAGTTCAAGCCAGCGCTGGGGTGGGTCTTTGAAGTTAACAACATAAACCCCACTGTCACTGAGCTCCAGGTCCCGCAGCAGCAGGGACCCGTTATTGGGGAAGGCCTCAGCACGGCCACGTTTCGTGGAGTCAGGGAAACATTTTGCAGAGCAGTTGCTGGGAGCCCCCCCGGCATCCAGGGAGCAGGTCTGCACTGTACAGGCGATGATCACATTCAAGGAGTTATGGAACATCCAGCGAAAGGACAGTGGGAAGTGAGAGGCCCCATCAAGCGTGTAGGAGACGGGCAGGAGCACGGACTGTCCCACGGTGCCGTTGACCGAATCCTGATGGATTTGGACCCGGACAGCCAGGGTTCCCCCTGCCAAGGAGGGGCAGGGGCAGATCAGCACCAGCGTCCCCCCAGTGGGGCGAGAGCGGGGGCTGCCCCTTCCCCTCCCCAGCCCTGGCAGGCGTCTCAGCAACATGCACAGAAGCCACGTCTGCATTTTTGGGGTGATTTATGGGGACCTGAGCTCTGGCAGTGACAGGCTCTCCCTCCCCGGGGCTGGCAGGAGCTGCCTGGGCTGGGAAACCCCCCATTGATCAGCCCCAGGGATAATTTTTCTTCCCCTGGGGGAAGGGGCACAGCCAGGGGTTGTGATCGCCCTCCCAGGGCTGAGTTTGTGATTTCCAACCCACGTCGTGACCCAGAGAAAGCCTTTTCGTGCGTTCATTATCAGCATCAGACCCTGCCCTTATCTCCCTCCGCGGGCTGGCCAGAGCCCACCGGTGGTAAATGACACGGTGCTGATAAAGCCGTAGCAGCAGGAGCTCGCTTCTGACACCAGCGCAGGAAGCCCAGCATCTGTGCTCACCTCAAAATTTGCATGAAGACCCGTCCGGAGCAGGAGCTCAGTGGCCGGAGGCGCCAGACTCACAACTTTTAACCATTTAAGCCCATCCTGGAGAAGTCCGGCTGCACCACGGTGCCTCTGAGGTCCCTCTTCAGCCTCAGGGATGGTACCTGCTCTCATGCCACCCCAGGACTGGGGTGGTGGGGTGCAGCCAGCCCTGGGGGTGCAGGAGGGATGAGGGTACATGGGAAGCCTCCAGAGGGGAGGCTGGAGGGGTGGTCCCCAAGCAGGGGGGTGAGCAGGATGGGGGGGGCAGGGATATTTCAGGAGGTCGATGAAGGATTTTCTGGAGGGCAGGGACAATCTATAAGGGTTTGGGAACCAAGGACAATCTCAGAGGCTGGCATTTTACCTGATTTTTTTGCTTCTTTCCCCAAGGCCACTCTCCTTCCCGAGACCCCCTTAGTGTGCCCCCATGGCCAGGGCACCCACCCCAGTCCCCTCCAGCCGTGCTCTGGCACGTTCTCTCCTCCTCCCTCTGCCCAGGGCCAGCTCGGGTATCTCCAGGTGTCTCCTCTCCCACCCCCAAACCTCTTGAGGAGCACCACAAAATTTGGGTTTGCTCTGCAAAAGGCTCAGGACATCCCACCCTG